GAGAGATTCAGATATTTGTGCTAATGTTGCCAGCAATTATGATTTTTTTGTTTTGGGTTGTTTGGTGCTGCACAAAGTAGAAGCAGTTATCTTAAAATTCTTGAAGTTTGAGACAAAAGAATCAGTGTTTGAGTTGATGTATTGTTCTTTTTGGATTTTATCTAAAAAATTTGACTTGCTTAGTCTTAACCGTGCCATAAAAGTAATTTACTATTAGACAATCATGCATGTCTTGGTAAGGATTGTAAAACAATACAGAGCCTTCATACTGTAGTCTCTTGCAGCTGATTTTTATCGGTATAAAATCAAAATATTTGTGCTGTACCCTGGTTGATCAAGTGTTTCAAAAATATTGTGATTTCAGTGTATGGTTCAGTGATAGGTTAAGGTTTACAGGGTAATCAGCATATGTGCTTGAAATATTAGTTCACTATTATTGCTTTTGGGGCATGTGCTTAGTTTAATTGTGTCTATGTAATTAATCATAGCTTATAATTATGAACTCTGCATTTCCAGACCATCTCTCTTCCTGAATTGGTTTAGAGAAGGTGTTGACAGACCAGAGCTCAGACTGTGGAAGTCATGTAAGTTGTCTTCAGTTTGAAATATTAAAGAAATTGGAGATATTTGTAACACTGTATTATGTTTAGAATATTGGTTTAACAAGTCTCCAAGCACTTTCTGTTTGTGAACTCAACATTATTAACCTCTGAGATGTTTGACCATATCCATATGGCTATCACATCTCAGAAACATGGAATATTTGCTGCCATTTTAGTGTAGCTGCTACGTGCGCAGGTAGGGTGCAGTTTAAAGGTGTTTTCAAGGATGAATCTTTTATGAGCACTGTTTTGTAAGTTTTGAGTGTTAAAAGTTTATCTCCTTCTGAGTAAATAAAAATCAGGTACATACCAATGTACATACTTTGCTCCATGGAGCAAAGTCCTTTATCAGAAGCTGTTGGTGGCTCAGCTTATCAAGGATTTTGTGGCTTTTATAAAATCTGAAGGTTTATTACAACATTCGCAGGAGTTTGCCAGTGGTCCCAATCCTGAGCTATATGTGTCCATGCCACACTGTCCCACTCTTAATAAAGAGCCATTGTAATATTCTCCCATCTATACCTATATATTCTAAGTAGTCTCTTCCATTCAGAATTTTGGACAAAACCCTGCATGCAATTCTCATCTCTTCGATTTCAGCCACATGTTCCACCCATCTTATCCTTCATTTGATCATCATATTGAAAGGACAAATTATGAAGCCTCGTGCAATTTTTGTCCAGTCTTCTCCTGTTGTCAAACACCTTCAATTTTTATTTTCCCTTGATGTGGGAAACCAAGTTTCATGCCCATAGCAAGCAAAAGGTAAATTATATATAGTTTATAATTGTACAAGTTTATATAATAAAAGGGAAGACAAAAATTCTGAACTACATGTTGGTGAGCATTCCCCAAATGAATCTTCTCTTAATTTGTTTCCAAATTAAGGTTTGATTTCTTATTCTCATTTCCAAATATTTATAACATAAATACAGTGAGCAACATTTTGTATCTGTGTCTTTCCACCCTTCTGGTGAGATCTTTTACTGTGGAATGTTTATTAGTCTTGTCCTTTGCCTCACTCTGAATGTCAAAGTCAACATAAATTGTGATGCTAGAAGGTTATCTGCAATGCCTACATTGCTAAATGTAATTAAATATGAACTCTATAATTGTGTAATTGTATGTAAGTAGTATAATAAATTTTGTTACTGTATTCCTTTCTTTTGCAGCATGCACATTAAGAAGTACTTTGGGCTGTTTTTCTGAAAAAGATGGTAGCTATTGAGTTGCTGTATCATGGTATTGTACAGTTTATGATACTGCATTTGGATATGTGGGAGCTGTTGCTCATGAAAAAGGTGGATTATCTGCTGTATCACATGATTGTACCCATGGATCACGTGATGAGAATGCCTACATTATGTTATGAGAAGTCTAGAACAGATTTCAGGTTGTAGTTTTAGTGTAATTGGGAAAAGGTCACAGTTTGAATGAGGTGAAGTCCATATGGCCACCACCATGAGATTGGAAGTAATCACATGTGCATCATAAACAATGAGGTGAAGTCCATATGGCCACCACCACTATGAGATTGGAAGTAATCACGTGTGCATCATAAGCAGAGTTATAATAGCAACAGCCATTCTTGGGCCACTCTGATGGTCTAATGGTTAGTGAACCTAGTATTCAGAAGGTCTCAGGTTCAATCCCAATTGTTGGAACTAATATCAGAATTAAAGTTAGTATTAAATTTGTCACTATAAATATAGCTAATCATCTGAAGACATGTGAAGAGCTGATTCTCAGAACATCATGTATTTCAAATGTACCAGTACCTAAGACAGTTGACAGTGTCCTTCATAAAACTGTAATGAACTCTTATATGTGGCTTATGGTCATGAGAAAAAATAGAAACTTTGGAGAGATGGCATTTTTGATAATTACATCATCAATTTAAAATTACATATTCAGGCAGAACTACTTAGAAGGTAACTGAACTTCCAGAGCTTTCAGGAACAGTTACACCCCACTAATATCTAGTCACATATAGCACAATGTGTCGTTTATTTGTAATTGTAATGCTGTTATACTTGTTCAATTTTTCTCCTTGTTTAAGGTAACGCTCTTAGATATACAGTGGAACCTTGATATACCGCGGACTCAGATATGTTGTGGCTGTGAACTTGTCCCCAATACGATTACATATGTTTTACATATTTCACGTATAACGCGGGTACTGAAGCTGTCCCCCAAAACCCGTGTTATATTGAGGTTCCACTGTACTTGTGGAAACATGTTACTTATACAGAGCAGGTTCTTGAGAAGGTGTAACTCATCCAGTCACATAATTCCCTTATATTTTTTGGAACTGCAGTTCATTATAGTTATCACAAGATCTTGCAGCTGATCCCTCTCCTGAGCACATCTACAGATATAGATTAAAAACATTTTCTTTTGTTAAATTTCCCTATCAGTATATTGACATGATCATTTTTCCTTTTTGTTAATATTAATTTTTCTCTACTGAGAGTTAATTAAGATGGCGTTGGGCTGAACATTGCAAACATTAAACATTTGATTGTTTCATGACACAGTGGTGAGAAAATGTGCGATATATGTAACTTGTTAGTGTGATGTATTACAGCTGGTGTGTATGATATACATATTCACTAATGATTTAAATTGCACTGTATTATATATCTGTGTATGCACTTTGATGGTTATACTTTGTATTTTAAAGTAATATTCTTATAAAATATATACTGTGTTGCAATTATTACTGTAGTAGGGGCCAAGGTCTTGCTACCACATGATGAAGCACTTTCTCAAAGTTTATGCACCAGAAACAGTAGTCAGTTGTAAATGTAATTTGATGTTGCATACACTGCTCTGCCTTTGTAAGAAGAGAAGTGTGTTTTTGATTGAACATCCCTTGTGTTGGAAACTTCTTGCCATATTTACTCTTGTGTCCAATGGAAAATTGAGCTGGTCAGGGCTAACGTGGCATATCTCAAATACAGCAATATTAAGTTGCACCATCATTCCTATAGCTGATAATATAATCTATTTGAGGGGTTGAGTGGTCCAAGATACAAAAAATTGAGCCACTTTAGCTGTGAGGAGTTCAGTTGTACTTTATGTACCTGTTTCAGTATTCATTCATTGTGATAAAATTGCTGATAGCCATGTAACTTCAATTTAGTATTTCATTATAGGGTAGATATAATGCATTGCATTATATAGCTTCATACAAAGTATAAGTTGAATATCAAACCACCTGAAATATGTGTCCTTTGTGTTTTGTACCTAGAAATAAATATTAGTGTCTCAGTCTTATTTTAATTTGAGACTGTAAATGTAAAATGTAACCCACTCTAGCATCTTGATAGTTATAAACAATTTACCTTTATTTAGTGATTGTTAATTAAGGAGAAGACTTGATCAAGAAACTCAGGGAGCAAGTATTAAAAATTAAATTTAATGTCAAAAGCTGTGTGGTGAATTAGGGAAAGTAGAGTAGGTCTACCAGAATGAAATTTTGAATAGGTATGGTGTGTAGTTCTTTTGGAGAATATAGAAAATACAAAAAGCTGTAAAATTTACAATAATGCTTATAAAAGTATCAACTTAGTCTTAACTTGTTCTATGTATGCACTTCTTTGGTGATGCATCCCATAGCTTCCATGACTTACAAGAAGAACACAATTTATGCTCTGACCCCAATAAGTTAATAGGATCAACATATACCAGAAATGGGTGTGTCCTCAACTCCAAATCCCTCTCTGTTTTCTTGGACCTTCCTGGTGGTGTATTCTAGGGCAAAGTTGAAAATCAATGGTGATAAGCAACTTGTTTCAGACAATTTTGATTAGGAAATGCTTTGGGAAAATGTTTACCTCTACACCTTATACTACAGGCTTCATGTAAATGTATTGGTGTCAGATCCAGCATCCCAAAATCTGGAAGGACTGAAAATTCAGTGATTCTTTACAGTGGCACTTTATTATGCTTGTCATGTTTAAAACTTTCGCTTCACATTTCCTTGACTTCGTACCATGTGCTGAATGGTGCCACTGTCAGCTTGCTTGTTTGCACTTGTTTGGTCATTGGATGGCTTAAGTTGTGTACTTTTATGTTTTTAGACAATGAAGATGATACCACCCCAGATTTTTGAGGTTTTTGTATTTGTGATGAAAGATTGTGAATTCTTACATAGTCTATAGCAGCGTTTCTCAACCTATGGTATGCGTACCACTGGTGGTACAGGAGCCAATCTTGAATGGTACCTGAACTAAGTAAATAATAAATAACCTGGCATATTAACCTCCATACATATCTGAGCTCAACATATTATCAATCCTTATTCATTTTAATCACATAGTGCATAGTTATGACACAAAAGAATTGCTGACTGAAGAATGTAATAGAGCAGTGTTCATGACCCTGGGGTCCACGAGTAGCTTCTGTTCTTTATTTTTATTTAGTTTTATGTTAATTACTGTATATACTAAGTTTTTATACATCCCATTTTTTTTACTTGTGCACTGGACTTATCTTCTACCTGTATTCCATTTTATTAAAATGCATGGGATAATTTGGTCTGACAATCCGCTATAATATAAAGTTTAGAAGGGAGGGAGACCATGGCACTTGAAAGGTTTTTATAGTAATGTACTTTATTAGCGATGTCAGCTATGAAATTATAAAAATTTGATTTGAGGTTTTCACGGCGGTGAGTTTGAAGATAGTTGTCTTTTGGAGCGATCGACCTGATGATGGAGGCAGCAAAAACCACTGAAACGTTAGTAATATTCACGGCGCTACAACCCTTAAGCAGTTTTAAAAATTTGTCCTCATAGACACATACATATGGATGGCAGCCTACTTGGCAGGTATATTTGTATTGTCTGTGGTGTACGGCGTGTTCTCATCTGTGGTCGGAAAATCAGTGTTTCTGTACGGTGATTGACGATGGTTGTTGTGGTGTAATATGTGACAAGTAATTATGGATGTGTGCAAGTTTTATATGTTTTTATTCGTTTTAACAATACATAATGCCAGAGGAGGTGCGTTGGCTGTAATACATATTAGTGATTGTAATTTGTAAGCTGCCGTTTTCATATTTATCTACAGGAGTAACATGGTGAAATTTAAATGTTTGAATGACTCATGGGCCAAGCCCTATTCAATATGGCGTTATTAATAACGTATTTAGTTTAAAGTAGATTTTATTGTTCTTGTTGTCAGTATTTTACGATTAACACCTTCTTTGAAGTAATATAAGGCAGTTATTATGCTGGTAAACTAGAAAGAAGGATACAAACGTCTTTGCAGGTTCACAAAGTATTGAAAGGAACATGGAAACGATCAGTTCTGCTCATGGATAATCCACGTGAATGTCAATTTTAAAGGAATTTAATTTTTTTTCAGACCAATATGAATGCAACGAAGAATTGCTGAAAGGTGCTGCATTGTCAGCTACATCATCTCTCCAGGATAGGGGACCACAAAATGCCAGATTGTATGGTATGACCAACAAATTAACGTTGCAATATTCATTTACTGTCCTGAACCGAAAACATTACCTGCCGCCCTTGTGGTTTAAAAATGTGTGTTTGAAATTAAAATAATCCTGGTAATCAGGCTATTAATAGTGAGTCTGGGAATTGGCTTTAATATGTGAATGGTAGGTAATCTAGCTAAGATATTTGCCACAGGTAGAGAAATATATTACTGGACTTTGATGGTTTGAGAGGTTGAATGTAATGGCACAATTGTACATTGTACAAATTTTGAAATGCTTCAAATGAGACAGGTGTTTGGAGGATATGCTGTATAAATTTTGGCCTTCTTTGTTAAACATCACATTTTACAGCTCTTACTGGGGAACACTCATCAAGTATTACCTCTGCCCACTCTTCTTTCAAGCTATTTGCATGTGATGAGATACCAAACTACACTGAGTCAAAGTGAACAATAGCATACTTTGCCGACACATACCAGACTACAGTTAACTGCCACTTCGCTGTGCATGTATCATGAATGCAGACATGTCTTTGGCTTTCAACATATAATCATGCTTTACTGTTTGCTTTGGGAGGGTGGAGGAATTGGTTTTGTGAGGGTCTACAGAAGATATGGATGAACAATATGTTTTTTCTTTTGGTGCTTTATGTTTGGTGTCAGTGGTGGGGTGGGGACATTTGTTCCAATGGTTATGATGGAGAGAGAGGAAGTTCAAGGTGTGATTGGTCCTTTTCAAGTACTAATTTCTTAATAGTCAGTTCCAATACATTGTGCTGTGCATCAGATGAAGATATTTAACACTAGTAGATCCTAAGTTAGGCTGCCAAAGATTATGTGGTAGGGATCAAGTGATTGTGTCCATAAAATTATGCTATTGGGCTGATGGAGATGTCAGCATAATAGGATTACAGGGAAAAGGTGAGTGGTGGATGCTGTGTACAGGACTATCTTGGGCATGGTCTACTGTGAATCCAGTAACATTATTTAGATCATGGAGGAAACTCTTCGACAGCTAGAAGATGGTGGTTTGCAAGATTTTCCTCACAAAGTAATCAGCAAGTCTGAAATTCCTGACATGATGTGTGCTGTGAGAAGTTTTGTAAACATCAGCAAAGATTACATTGAATAATGGCTACATAGTGATGCATGTGAAGAGGGCATCAAGCACATGACAAGACAAATGTCTATGCTGCCATGAAACAAAAAGGGAGAGAATGAGTGATGAAAATGTGAGAAATTCATACTGCCATGAGGAGGAGTCTAAATAGTTCACAAAAGCAAGTGACCATTAAAACTATTTATTGAAATGAACAGCAATTGTGTAAAAATAAAGTAAAATCATTTGTGAAGTTCTGTGAATGCACCAAACAAAATATTTTGATTTTTCCAGATTATAGTAAGCTACATTAATAAGAAAGGCAAAAAAGAACCCGGCAGACTCATTCATTAAAAGGTTAAAAATTATATATTTATTTAAGTAAGAAATGTTATCTGTAAGGGTAGCTATTTCTACTCTCTGATGCATGGTTTCTAGTTTCTCAGTTGTGTAACATTATTATTTTTCACTGTTAATGTGTGGCCCATTGTAGTTCTTGTATCCTCTTTTGTGAACACTTGTAAAGCTGGAACCCACAGAATGTCTGGTGGTGAAGGATGCATGGAAGATTTACTGGGACCAGATGGATGCAAAAATGTTAGTTGAATTTCAGTGTCATTCACATATAACACATACATAAACCACCACATTGTCACATTCACAAGTTAACAGACCTGCTAATATCTTACATGTAAACTTCTACCAGACTACATGGCATGACAACCCAGAAGACAGCCATCTTAAGTTTAATCTAATTGAATAGGCTAATTTTCCAGGAAACAGTTAGTGACACTAGATTCTCTCTTGTTTGTCTTCAGGTTGTGGCAACTAATAGTGGCTCTGTTGTGGTTGGGCTGATTTGAATACTTTAAATAGAGGTTTTGGATGGATGCCTGTGTGGATCAAGTTAGAGGAAAGAATCTACAAGTGTTACAAATTCTTGTGATTGTAATTTTGGTGGTATGGGTTTAAAACTTCAGAATATTTCTTTTGAATGAGTGGCAGAATGAGTATTCGTTGGACATTCAGTTTTGGTTCATGGAATCCAACTGAGTGTCAGTTCCAGTTGGCCGCATCCTGTATTCAGGAAGAAGAAAAGATACGAATTGGGAGGTTTGTGTTCAAAAAAGATGCTAAAGCTTCTTTGGCAGGACGTTTGCTGATGAGGAAATATGTGAGTGAGAATTCCAGTCTTCCATATGCAGACATTAAGTTTGGGAGAGATGATCGAGGGAAGCCTTTCTTAGTTGGATGTCATGAAGTCAAGCCTATGTTAAATTTCAATGTGTCACATCAGGGGAACTATGCAGTCCTGGCTGGTGAAAGTGGCTGTAATGTCAAGGTTGGCATTGATGTGATGAAACTAGAATACAGTGGAGGAAAAACATTATCAGAATTTTTTCGTGTCATGACCCGGAACTTTTCACCACTTGAGTGGGAGACTATTCGAGGTAATAGTAAAACATCTGACAAGCAAAGACTTGCAATGTTTTGCAGGCACTGGTGTTTGAAGGAAAGTTATGTTAAAGCTACTGGCACAGGAATTGCTGTTAACCTGCAGCAAATAAATTTCAAAATTAAATCCAGTAATCTGAGAACAGGTGCAGTGGTTACAGACACAGAGCTGTTTGTAAATGGGAATCATTTAGAAGACTGGAGCTTTGAAGAGAGCCTTCTGGATGAGAACCACTGTGTTGCAGTTGCACTGAGTGGAAAGGGCAGAGGTTCTGTTCCTGTTGTATTCAAATGTCTGGACTTCAGTGAACTGATGAATGGAAGCAAACCATTGCTCTCCGCTGACCCTGCTTACAGTCAGATGTTCTTTAAGAAGGAAGAGAAACCTTTCTAAATATCTTCCTGATGATTTTACTGAAGTGTGGAATGAGATGATGGCTTAATTATATGAAATGATTGTTGCAACATTATATGATGTTCAGATGACAGTTCTTGTGTAGGTAGTGACTAATATGACATGTGATAGGGCACATGTAGGAAATACTAATGCTGAGTGAAAAAATACTGACTAAAAGTGCATGACCATATTAATTTTGGCTGGCCAGTGTCTGCAAAGTGTATCTGCTGATTGTTTTGGACTGTTTTATTTTGATACTGTTAATAATGGCTGGTCATAACTAATGGCCACTTACAAGTACAGAATTTGTAATTTATTCTCAGTTCTACCAGAACTTAAATATGTGCTATGGTATGCTGAAAAGTAATGATTTCCATCCCCCACTATAATGAGTTTGTATTTTATTGAAACAAGAATGTGCATTATTTTTTAATGTTATTCTCTAACTTTACACAGTTACTTCTCAGCATACTCTTCCTTTCAGTCCACACACACACTGCAAATGTTCATGTAGTTTTTTATGAGCTTGTCTTATTGGAACTCTTAGATTTTCTTTCTGCTTTGGAAATAGTTGAAAGTTAGATGGAGCCAAGGCAGGGCAGCATGGTGGATGCTCCAAGATTCTAAAACCAAGGCTGTGAATCTCGGCTCTTGCTGGTATGAGGCCTTGCGTTTTCCTGTTGGAGGAAAACCTTCTCTCAGGGCATACCCTTGAAATATATGTGTACTGTTTTGTCTCCTTACACTGCACTATTTTCATGGCTATAATTCAGAGATCTCTAGTGTCCAAACTGCAGTAAAGTCTGGATGAAAAGTTTCATTTCATTCACATCACTATCTGGGCTTGATCTTAAAAAATAGAATAATTGCTTTTTAGCACATCTGTGTGTAATAATAGTCTAATGCAAGCACTTGTTGGATGTCTAGAGAACTTTTGTATTTATGTGGTGAAGTGCTTGTATATATTATCTGTATTCCTGTAAACATGCTAGGGTTTAATTTTGTGTATGCAAGTGACTCTGAAACAACATGGGATAATCCTCAACCACATATACCCACCTGCATAAAGATCACTGGCCTTTTACAACTCTGAAGTCATCATTGCTATTCACAGTGGTGAGTGGTCTTGTTTTAGCAAGAAATGGTTTCCCATTTTGAACCTCTTAAGCTTCTTATAAAGAGGAAATATCAGAGCAAAATTATCACAATCATTGCAGTATGCATTCATTTCCTAACTTATTTCATTACATTTATTCAAATCAAAATAACCATCTGTTAATGAGTAATATCTTTCATATAGATCGTAACTGCGTCCACATACATGTTTTGGCTTTTATAGTTTTGCTATGAGGTGGATATTTGTAATACAGCCAATTGCATATTATCCTAAACACTTACTTTATAGCCTGCTTGGTAGAGGAAAGGAGGTGATGAAATTTTAAGAGGATGTAATGATGGAGGTTCTGGTGACTGTTGCTGCCAATTCTTTCACATCTAACACGATCACCTGAACTTCCTTTGTCACCTCTCACAATTATATCTCCTCCTTTCTTCAACCACATGCTTCTCTGCCATTGTATAGCAGACCACTCCACCAGCTTTTTTCTTTTAGACTGTGGAAATAGAATCTAATTTCCCATTTGAGCAGAATATACTTGAAGCAGATTATTTGTGTTAGTATTATCACTGTGCTGATGTAATGTAATGTAAATGCTCTTTGCAGTTCCACTGTTTTCTGTATTGTCACAGTTGAATAAAGTATGTCTGCCTGCATCATTGTCTTTCAAGAATTCTATATGTGCCTTGTATTTGTTTTCATATGGTGGCTTAGTTCATTGCATTTTCTGATACTATTCTTGTTTCATTTTCACATCTTGTTATGAATCTAAAAAAGTTGGATTCTTTCTGTTTTGAATGATAGAGAGAGAGAGATAGTAGATACATTTAAAGGTGTAGCTGTTTGTACTTGTACTTGTTGAACAAACTGGACAGTGGCTAATGAAAGTCTTGTGTGTTGAAAATGTAAAAGTAGGAGGAAGCCATATTCCCAGG